AAATATGAAGCCTTTGTACTACTTCTCCCTGGCCTCAGGTGGGACTGTCTGCTATGCCAAGGGCTATGGGGACATGGTGCAGTTTTCCTTTCACGTCTCTGTCAGTTAGTTAGACTTCTAGGATTCTCTACCAGTTATGCAGTTCACTGGAATGGAGTTTTCTCCTTTCTGTTTCTAAGAAAAGCACACAGGCTCTGCATTTTGCATTTGAATGCTAGTATCTCCTGGTAGCCAGATATGGGACAATAAAACTGATCAACTCAATCAAGTTACAAACTTTTCAGGCATAATTCCTGAAAAAAAATTTAAATATTCAGAAGCCCCCAACTCTTATTCTCTAAAGGGAATTTCTTCTAAGTTTGGCATACCCATTTTGAAAAATAAAATTAACATCAATTAAGTTAATTTAGGTATGATGAGCTGAATAAAAGCCATTTAAATATATCAAGTTCTAATTTCAGGAACCAGTAAATGCTTCTTTATATAAGAAAAATGGGGAATTAGCAGATAGGATTAAACTAAGGATCTTGACAAGAGATTATTCAGGTGAGCCCTAAATATAATCACAAGTGTCTGTTTAGAGGAGAGAGACAAAGGGTGATTTGATAAGCAGAAAAGAGGAGGCAATCAGATCATGGTGACAGAGATCAGAGGGGTGTAGCCAGAAGCTGAGGGATGGTATTTGTTAGCAGAAGGAGCCAGAAGAGGTAAGGAACAGATTCTCCTTGAGCAACTTGGGAAAGATTGTGGTCTTGTCAACGTCTTAATTTTGATCCAATGATACTGATGACTTTGGACTTTGGAACTGTGAAAAAATAAATATCTGTTGTTTTAAAGCATGAAGTGTAATGCAATTTATTACTCTGGCCTCAGGAAACTAATACAAGTGCCTACTTTCTTCAAATATTTATCATTAGACCTATGTAGTAGGTGTCACCCATATGATTGTGTGCTCATTCTATTCTTCCTTTTGTAGTTGATTAGCAAGCTGAGCAGTCACTTCTTGTGTTACTGGAAAGTTACACTTAAAAAACTGAAATATGAGAAAAGCACAAAAAGAAGGATGATATATTAACCATGAATAACCATAAAGTTAAGTCTTGGAATAAAAACTGAGTAAGACGATAGGCTTACCCTAAGTTTAGTTTCTTAATCAAATTAGACACACTTACACACATGCACATAATTAGTGCATGGAAAATGTAGCAATAATTGTGTATGCCAAGTATTGTAAACACACTAAAGAGTGTACACTTCCAGGATGTGTGTGTGTGTGTGTGTGTGTGTGTGTGTGTGTGTGTGTGGCAGTAGGAGAAGCTTCATAGGAAGGTATGACCCTGAGCTGAGACAGAAAAGAATGGAGGAATAAAGCAGGAGGATCAGATAAACTTTTATCAGCTTTATCCCATGCATTTCATACTTTGAAGAACCCTTTCTACAAAAAATTGTTTTGAATAGCTTCTGTGTTTATTGAGTAACAAGTAACAGGTCAAGAACACCTAACTGACAGTTTATAATCAGCATACAATGAGCAGTATTACATCAGAAGCTCATCATTATTTCAACAAAGTGCAAAGATATTTGTCATTTGAGTTTTCTTTGTGTGTGTGTGTGTGTGTGTGTGTGTGTGTGTGTGTGTTTGCATTAATTCTTTTCCTGGCAAAGGAGTTATGTCTGAAATGTACTGTTACTGCTATAGGACTCTCACTATTTTTGAGAATATCCATGCCTAGCTTGGGAAAGACACTAGTTACCTTAAACAATCTGGTTTAGAGAAAATTACATTGCAGAAATACTCCTTAGTGAATGCTTCTGCATAATTGTACAATAACTCTATCCCTTGAAGATGGCTTGCATTACTCTTTCTTTTCATGCCAACATAAATATATCCTGAGCTCCTTTTAGAGATCTACAAAGTAATAGTGATGAATATAATCAAGATTTGCATAAATTTGATTATTTTATTAAAAGATTTTAACAAAATGTTATGGTTTGTATCTAAAATGTCCTCCTGAAATCTCAGATGTCAAAAGTGGTGCTTTGGAAGGTAATTGGACCATGGAGGTGGTGTACTCATTAGTGGAATAATTCACTGATAAGTTCACAGCTGAATGTGCTGTTAGAGGTACAGCCTGAATGGAAGGGGTGGGTCACTGGGTACATGATTGGAAGTGTGTGTTCTTGACCCCAGCTCTTCCTTTTCTCTGTGCTTCTTGGCTGTTAAATGTCGAGCAGCTTTCCTCTGCCTTGTCCTTCCAACCAACACACCATTTCTGCTTCGGAGCCAGCTGACCATGGACTGAACCCTCAGAAACCATGAATCCAAATGAATTTCTGAAATTATGTATGTCAGGTATGTTGTTCATTCAGTGAAAAGTCTGACCAATATATAAATCAGCAGATACAATCAGATTTGGGGGCTTTTTTACTGAATATAAAATAAAATATAGTAAAAAACAGTCATATTGCATTTTATTATTTTATTAAAGTTTTTTATAAAATGCAAATTTCTTAATATCTTTTAGCTTGTTTCTTTATACTTAAAGTGAGGGCACTAATATCTGCTTGAAGAACTACTTGAGAACTGTGATTTCTGTATACTAAATATCAAAGTCAGTACCTGACATTTAAGCAGGTACATATTTATAGCTGCATCCATTTATTATTATTATTATTTATTATTTATGGTAGTAGTGGTAGTACTGGAAATTGAATCCAATGCCTTTACACTGAGCTATATCCTCAACCTTATTTTTATTCTTTATATTGAGACATACTCTTGCTAAATTACCAAGTTGTCCAGACTGGATCAAAGTTGTAATCCTATTGCCTCAGCCTCCTAGAGTGCTGGAATTACAGGTGTGTGCCTCCAAAATTGTGTAGGATTTGTATTTTATCTTTTGTCAGTTTTGTTGTCATTTTCTAGAGGTAGGCAAACTTTTAACTATTGTTTTTTATGCCACTATTCTCCAATTGCCTCAATATTCTCAACACATTGCAGGAATCCTTCTCGCTTGTAGCCAACACTTTTGTTTCCATCTACTGAATTTAAAGCTCTAGGAGAATTAGTGTGCACCAGAATTTAACCCTTTTCTGGTAGTGATACTCTTTAGTCTTTTCATGAGCTCTTCTCCATCTCCTTTAGGCATCACATGGTCAATGACATCACAATATTGTTTATGAATATTATACTCTAACTTTAGAAAGAGTTGGATTAATTTTTAAATTTGATCATGCACAAAAACAGAGGTAATATATTAAAATGAGATAATAGACTGTTAGGAAATTGAGAAATTTAAATTGAACTTATTTTAGATTCACTTTAACTTTTCAAACTGAAAGTTTATTTATTTATTGGCTTGTACAGTCCAGGCTGGCCTTGAACTCACTATGTAGTCCAGGTCGACCTCAAACTTGCAGCGATCCTCCTGCCTCAGCCTCTCCAGTGCTACAATTACTGATGGGTGCCACCTTGCCCATTTCGAAAGTTAATTAACCTGCTTTTAAAATTAATTGTCATGATCGCATTGCATGGAGTATGGGTATGACTAGTGTGCTAAATGTATTTTTGTTATACCAAAGAAAGAGCTAACCCAGGCGCCATGGTGCATACTGTAATCCCAGCTATGAAGAAGGCTGAGGCAGGATTGTAAATTGGAGGCCCACTTGGACAATTTAGTGAAACCCCGCTTCAAAATGAAAAACAAAAAGGCTCTGATAGAGTATTCTTTGTTGTACTCCCAGTATACCCCAAAAAGCCACGCGATTATATTGCTAGGGGTGAACTTTTTCTGTCACTCGTTTGTTGTTAAATTCGAGAAAGTCCTTGTTTTAATAAATCTTTATTAAACACCTATTAAGCATGAGACATTATTCTGTATGAATGATTGAATGATGTATCTCCTCTTCCTTAATACTGATGTGCCTTTTTTGTAGGCTAGGTATTGATTGTACTGTGTCAGTTCTACACTCGCCCCTCACTGGGCCTCTGATCAAAGCCGAGAGGATTCCTATTGCCATAAAGGCTTTGAAACTGGGTAATACAACACAAGGTCCGAAACAGGGGAAATATGAACTGCTCTAAAGCCTCTGAGAACGACGTCAGTTTTAACCAGTTTCCCCCAGGGTTCCTTGTATTCAGCAGTCTTAGAAGTTTCAATGAAGACCAGGTGGGTGGATGCGGGGATAGAGGAGGGAGAGGTCTGCGTACAAACTTCAGCAGGGGCGGCTGTCTGAAGGTAGGACGCGCGGATGAGCACCGGGACAAAGGGGACGCTAGCACACCACAGGCGTTTTCGGCTCAAATTTCCCTACCAAGACTCTTAGAATTGAATTATTTTGGGGGAAACAAGCAGCCCAAAAGAACTTGGTGTGCGCGCCTGCGTACGTGTGTGCGTGTGCGCTCTCAGCATGCCCTTCGCTCTGCACCTGGGCGACTCAGCAGGGACGAGGCGGGCTCGAGCTGCCGGGGACGCCCCCGAGCTCCCAGCTGCGGCAGACAAAGGGCGGCGCG